CTAAATGCAATTGTAACTCATAATCCTAGTTATGGTGGAACAAACACAGGATTGCAGACCCAGTTCTGCTACTTCCTACCTCTGCAATCTTGAATAAATCAGTATCACCAAGGCCAGACATTTTTAGGACAGGAACCTACCATAGCTAACTGACACCCAGCATTAGATAATCATTTACCGCCATAGCTGCCATGCACCTGTATGCAAAACCCTGACTTTACGATGATGTAGAGAGCAGCTCTAAATAAAGGCTAAAATTACACCTCTCACCTCCTCACAGAAGTCCTCCCGCAGAAGAAAGGACTCCACAAAGGCGCACACAGAAACAGGTCATCTCCAGTCTGCCTAGCAGGGGTTCTCTTCTGCTTTTCTAGTCCCTATGGGTAGGTAATGATCAAGAATGCAGAGTTTAAGCCCCTCCTACTGCTCCTTACAAACCTTTACCATAACAGTAAGGTGATAATTCCCCCAAATCAGGCTCAAGTGGAAGGGAAAAAACAGCTTGGGATGAGAAGAACTAAAAATGGGCTGAGCTGTAATTATTTAGGTGAGAAACAAGGTCAAAGCTGCCTTCCGGAGACAAGAATTATATACAACAAGTAAATTAGATTGCCCAGCTCTGCAGGGCCACCCGACAGAACTTTCTTTAGTGACAGCAATGTTCCCTGTCTGTGCTGCCTGGTATGGCAGCCACAAGGCATGTGGCACTTGACATTGCTAGTGTGACTGTGAATTTGCAAGGATATTTATTGTAATTCTAATTAATCTAAATTTACATTGCCAAATGTGGCTAGTGAATACCAAATTGGGTAATGGGACTCTCAATCAGTGACAATTCCCCCCATGCCTGTGGGACAACTAACCCCCTCTGGGGACATTTTTAGTTGTCATAACTGGGGGTAGGGGGTGCCCCAGCACCTAGTGGGTGGAGCCCAGTGACGCTGCTAAACATGCTACAACGCACAGGACAGCCCCCACCACAGCAAATTATTTGGCCCAAAATGTCAGTAGGGCTGAGGCTGGAAAAACTGCTCTCAGTTTGCTCAAGGATGGGATTAAAGTAAACACCAGACAAACTGTATTACACCTTGTCCAAGCCGAATATCCGGGAAGAATGAAATTTTTCAAGGAACAGGACAAGGCCTAAGCTGTTCCACAAGTGTAAAGTAACTGATGTTTAGTGTATGTGTCGGCCAACTTATCAAGAACTCTACCTCAGAGTAATTATTTTCCCTGACTTTTCAAAAAACTTGACTGCTAATGTGACACCGAGAGGCTGTGCCACAGAGCCTGTCATTCATGAGCTGGACGCACAGTATGGGGGGCCCAAGCCCCTACTCCTCCGTTCCCAGTTTGAATTCCTTGCCCTGTCAATAAACTTATCTGGTTTCTTGAGACATCACTAATTTCAGAAGCAAGAAAACTGATACTGTCGTGAAAGAAAAGCCTATCAAGACTGTCACTGTAGGTCTGTACGTTTACATCTTACCAGAGAAAAAGCAAGGTACAGAATCATATCTGGACCAAAGGAAATGTACTACAGTGACTACACAAAATGATGATCGCATACATACTACAGTTCCGAGTGAGAAATATCACTTGAAATTTTAGAGGGTGAGTATCAGATAACATGGTTTCTGCAGCCAGTATAAATTATGCATGGATCAGTTTAAATAGGATCATTCAGAACCATCCAAATAACTCTCAAATTTATATTAGCAATGTAGAATTTAAACCAGGATAGTCTACTCATAGGAAAAAAATGGAATAATGGGCATAATTCAGTGTTTTACTTTGATTCACACTATTTTTCAGAACAGTAATCAACATTCACATTACAGCAAAGCTTAATTATTCATTACATGTAAGGCCCTCTATTTCTTCAAGAAACATAAAGACACAGTCCAGTTCTGAGAAATTTACATTCAGAATTTTCACATTGGCCTAACACAAAGTCTTCCAGCCCACACATTCTGAATTCCTGAAAGATCGCTGAAGTTTTTGTGAATGTTCCAGCCCTAAGCAGTAAGTTTCAATACCACTTCAGAACTTCATTTGGAAAGCTTAAGATCTTTTCATTATTTGGAAAGCTTAAGATCTTGTTATCATCCATCAACATTTAGGGAGCAACCACTGTCATCTACTAATCAAATGCCAGAAAAAGCATACTTAAATAAGATTCCAATCCACTCTGTTGTACAGATTTGCTTATGAAGAGCTATTCTTAGAGGAAAGGTCACCCCACTTCTTCAGGCTTCTGGCTGAAATGACATAAAGCCACCCCAGTTTATGAATTTGGAAACAACTCAGGGACATTTTTTAGCGTCAATCTGTATTCAACTACATGCATGTTACACACGTGATCTATGATCTACAGCAGGGTTTTTTGGCCTCAGTGCTGGCATTCCGAGCGGATGATTCTCTGGCTTGGTGGCTCCTTTTGAGTTGCAGGGTGTTGAGCAGCATTCCTAAATGACACCTACTAAGAACAGCAGTATCTCCCTGCTTACTTGGTGACCATCAAAGGTATCTCCAGAGTTGCCAAATGTCCCCTGGGGTCAAAATTGCCCACAGTTAAGAGTCACTGACCTGGACTGAAACTCCTAGTACCAAAATGTGGACACTGCTAAACATAAATCTGGAAAAACTTTATTCTCACCCAAAGAAACATGTAATATTTGCTGCTGATAGTTTGTCTTCCGTCTGCTTTATCTTAAATGATCAAGGAGTAGGAAATACCACTCATGAAGATATCTGGCTCAAATTCTACAATTCCTGCCTTCACCTCTCCAGTGACAGAATAAAGCCACAGCAGCTGCTGTACTTAAAAAGGAATAGTTATTTCTGCTGGTTCAAAATTCAAAGTCAGTGTTTCAGCCTTAGAACACTAGCCTTGTTGGACCAACAACTGCATAGTGTTTAAGATACTGGATCCCATATGGCCTATTCCACAGTTCAAATCCTGGGCCCAAACAGGACAGGTGCATATATATGTGTGCCCCAAATCCTGAGAGGCGCCTGGAGAATGGATGGTGGGTGGTCATCCTTCCTGGCGGGTGATTTTTCATTTTCTGTCTGTCCAACAAGCTCATTTGCCATATGGCAAAAAAATTTAAAGAACAAAAACCCCTAGCATTCTTTCTGAATTCCACACGTACAGAAAACAGACACTCAAGCTGGACAAGCAGACACCCAAGCTGGAACAGAAGAGCTTTGAGGGAGGACAGAATGTCAGCACTGAAGGTAGCAGCCCATGAAGAAGCCAGTTCTCATTCTCAGGCCCTAAACCCAGGACAACCTGAACCATTTCGCCTGCCGGAGCAGTCAACCAGGTACATCACGCTGCTGCTTCCCTAAAGGGAAACCCCAGGAAGGCACTGCTGGCCGTGAATTTCAAGTTTACACGAGGGTCTCCCCTCGCCGGCAGAAAGGGGGAACGAGGACGCTATCGAGCTGCGGAGATCCTGAAACTAAATTCATAACGCACAGAATCCCCACCCCTCGCTGGATCCCTCAGCTTCTTGCCTGGCGTCCGCAAGCTACAGCATCCGAATCACGTGGGGAACTTGTTAAATACGCAGGTCCGGGTCCCGCCCCCCAGAGGTTCCCACCCCAGGGCTGAAAATCTGGATTTTCACCCAGGGCCCCAGGTGATGCCTACGCACGCTGAAGTTGGAAAACCACTGCTTTAACAACAGTTTCCTAACTTGGAGACTTACAGAAAACCTACAGGCTTGCAGGTGCCTCGGAAACGACTGAGGCTTCTTTCCAGGAGCTTCTGGGCTGCAAACTGTTTGCTCCTGACCCGAAAAGGCCGGCCTGAGCCAAGAGCCTCCGCAGGGCCTAAGGCCAACCCCGCGGTCCTGGCACTGGGATCCGGGACCCTCGCGGCCGCGAAAGACCCCGGCCCTGCCTCTCTCGGCCCGCGGGGGGGACTCGAGAGACGCTCGGCCCCGGCCCTGGCTCCGTGACGCGCCGAGGCCCTGGCTGCGAGCACCCGGCCGGACGCCCTAGCGGCCGGACCTCCTGAGATAGGGCCCGTTAGCCCCCGGCCCCCTCCCCGGGTCACAATGGCATCTCGCGACGGGGAAACAGTCGCCCCGGCGGCGGGGATCCCCGGCCGCCGGGCCGCCAGGCTCCCCAGGACGGAACTTCATCAG